TTTCCTATTGGCATTAGTTCTGCAAGTAAATTGTTTTTACTTGAAACAATATCTCATTTTCATGCACTTTGTATTTAATAATCATTTAAATCTGATTTCTAATGGTTCAGAAGTTTATAAAATGTTTTCATTAACCAAATGCCAATCTAACCAAAAGCCAATCGTAAATATTTAGGTCTTGTAGTGTCCGTAACTGTATGAAGCTACCAAATTATTTTAGAAAATAAAAAAAAACATGAAATTTCATATTTTAATGGAAGCATTTATATGTCAACAAAGGCATAAAAAATGTTATTTATAAATATTTCTTTCTTTATTTATATTGGTTTTAAAGAGTTTACATAAATTGAAATGGTACCATTTTAAACAAAAATCTACGAAGAAAGAACTGTTTTCATTTTAAAGTATAATGCCACCTTTTTTAGTCCAACTTTTGTCAATATTAAGTATTTTTATATGTTGTTTGTTTTTAAGCAGTTGAAAAAATCAAAGTTTATTAACAGTTTTCAATATTTATTTCAAAGAAAACAACACTTGTAGTGTCCGTAACCTGAGAAAATGAGGTTATTATAAGCTTTTAAAAAACAAAGTTTTAATATGAATTTCACAAAACCATTTATGTTCCAGATCCTTTAGATACTCTACTTTTTAGAAAAAAATATTTTGGGGGCAAAATAAAGACATTAATTTTTTACCCCCAAGCGCAAACTTAGTGTTCCCTTTATTGTGTTTCAACGGAATCGTTGGAAATTTGAATAAAAAGACATTAAAGGTAATTAAAAATACGAATAGTGTCCAAGTCATTCCCATTAGTAAACGAATATCTATAGGCAACAGCTATCGCATATACGACTGAAAATTAAACGCCATAGCAAATAAGAAATTCGAAACTTTCAGATATTTCATTAGACTGTTCAATTTCTTGTCATGTAAATTTTTTGTGTAGGGTTGATTGTTCATTTCCAAGAATAACACGAGTATTGGAATTTTATCGTTTTATTGTTTATAATTCCATTCAAATACAATTAATTTCCTTCTTAATAGAAGATAGAGATGGATTACAAGCCTTATATACAAAAGGTTTTATGTTTTTCCTGTTTTTTGATCGAAAAAATTCCCTGAGCAGAATTGAATTTTAATACACATTCAAGACTGCATAGCACGGAAATGAAGATAGAAAAACTTGATGGATATCCGTATTCTGTAATCTCTTTAGATAGGTTTAAGCATTGTAGGTATGGGTTATGTCTGGGTTAAGATTTCTAATTAAATGAAACTTGGTTCGTGTCTTATATATAATTTTTGACATTCGATATAGGAATTCCTCTTTAAAATCAATAAATAAAAGACATAAATTATAAATGAATTTGTTTTTATATTTTTGGGAATTGAACTATGTTCAATCCGCAAGTGAGTTAAGGCTACATATATGGAGGTTTCTACGCAAAATGTTAATTAAATTCCATAATTGGTCTACCTACCGCACAAAAAATGTTAAGACTTGTTTTCTAATACATTCTTGGTAACCACGACATGCGATACCCAGTACACATTATGACGTCATATTATCTCTACTATACAAGTTTATAAGAAACATCAACAAAATCACTTCGGCGCATAGGCATACCTTACTTTGTTTTACAGAAGCAAGGTATAAAAAGACGCAGGATATTCCAAGGATTTAAGATATTGCTGCACAAATGTCGGCGCTGCAATTGTTTAGTTACTATATGTGCAGTTTTAAGTTTAAACAGGGTAAAATTTCACAGTCCAGTGTAAATTTCTTGAAATTTTTATCGATTGAGAATGTGCATAGGATTTGTGCAGCAATTTTATTAATTTTAAGAATATTCTCCTTAATATTATACATTGTTTATTTCAAATTAGATAGGATATGCCCTTGCGCCGAAGTTATTTTGTTGATGTGATTTATTACCTTTAATGGGAGAAAACAATGACGTCATAATGTGACGTCATAATGTGCACTTGCATTAATAAACTGTGGGTATAAAAATGTATAAGTAAAACAATTTGAGCTTTCTCTGTATATAAAATATACAACTTATGAATTTTTTATTAGCTCATTTGCATAAAAATATCCATATTTAGCCTTAACTCACTTGCGTCTCGCATGGTCATCACGCATTTAACATGCACAGTAATTTGTGCTGATTATACAGAGCCGAAAGCGAGGCTACTGTGTCGACCAATTTACTCCGATGATATTCAACAGAAAACATGCATAAACATCCGCCACAAATAGTTCATGTCATTTTCTCCTGAAATGATCTAATCCTTATAATCTGAAATGTAAGTAAATGTAATAACTAAGTTACTGTAATCTTATTTTAAATGTTACATTTCTTTCAAAGTAAAACAAAATTATAAAGAACCTCAAAAGTTTTTCGTAACGGAACTCATTTTTAGTGTAGCGTCATCTATAAACACCGAAAGACACGAACGACAACTCTACATACTGACAGCAAGCGGTAAATCTACTCTTCCCTATGCCCGACTCCCGACGTACCCGGATTTTGGATTTTTAACAATTTCTTTTTTACCGGTGCAGAGAATTTATTCTAACTTTTCATGAACATTTCCTTGGTTTAAATGAATTCATTAATGCATAAAAACTTTTAAAAACATGCGTATTTATTACTAGATCAGCAGTATCACCTGCCAAAAAGCGGTAAATTTAGTACTCTGTTATATATGTTAAAACCAAAAACGGACACCGATGTTTTCTTAGAATCACGATGAAAAGCAATAAAATGAAGTATATATATATATTTTTTTTTAAATAAAAGGAAAGCCTAATTTACATACCACATAATTTGTACGCACAAAAAACTCTCACATATACCACTGTTTTTATGTTTGGTCATTTTAAAAATATTTGTTTTTAACTTTGTATTGATTTTTTCTTCACAATATTGAAAAATTTAAGTTCTGACGTACTCCATGTACATGTATAATGTTCGTGTAATTGAAATACATTTATATTCACAGAGAAGTTTTATATAACAAACCTGTTAGCTCTTAAAAAGATGCTGTGTGGAAATCCACATTTTATCAACATTGATATCATTCCTGTGAAACTGAAATTTTCATAAGACATGGGTAAAGGTGCCAAAGAAAAATATATTACAAATTTGAAGATGAAGTAGAGGTACTGTGAGCAGTGAATTATATAAATGATCAACCGCCTCTAATATGAATATAATTGCAGTGTCCATGTTTTGCAATGGGAAACCCAAAATATGTGTAGGATAAAAAGTAATAGAAGGTGCACAACGGCAATATGTAATAAAGATTCTTTGAAAATTTCATTCAGTGCGCAGTACAGTTAAGGTGCGCAATGGAAATATCGACTAAATTTTGTATTTAAAAATGTATTCGTAATCGGGATAGCGATTATTTTTAGTACATTATTTCTATCGGATAATTGTAATTATAATTAATAACTACATATCGAAGACAAGTAAACTTTATATTTAGACTAGTCACGTGATGCGGCAGTCACGCGATTTTAGCACATTGACTTGAAGTATTGATGTTACATATAAATATCAATAGTGCAAGGGCATAACCAAAATAAATTTCCAAGTTTAGTATATAAATATTTTCAACACGCATTGTAGTTTCTAAAAAGTGCTGCAATCCTGTCAAAATTCTGCAATTTTATTGTTAAAAGTATACTTGTATGACCAAATGCTATATTTTTCGCTGATCAGCGGCATGAAATATTGATTTAATTAAATTGTCTTTAAGATTTCATCAGGATCGCAGCACTTTTCAGATACCTTAATAGTTCTATAATTGAAATGTAAAAGCTTACTTTGATCCATAGAGTGTATGCCCTTGCACTAGATCGATTTATAAAGACCCCCCATATTACCCTCCGATGTACTTGCATACAAATATACGGCAGTGTCAATTAAATACGTAATGTACAGAAAATATGTAAATAAAATAGTGAAAAAGACATCAAATTCAAATTATTGGCCTATAGAATATCTGTAAATAATATTTTATTTAATTACAGAATACATATTTTGTTGAGAAAATATTACTTGATCTGTCTCTAACTGCATACAAATTACGTCACGATGTAAGAAATGACGTCATATTGACAAGTGTAGTGCGATCAGTGACTTGTTTATAACTTGTTATGTGGGATTTAACTAACGACAAAAGAACACGCTGTAGTAAGTTTTTATGTAGTTCGATGATTTCTTACTGGTTAAATTAGCAGATAAACTTATTTTGTGGTATTATAAAGAAATGTTGTATGACGTATATTGTGAGTGATGTCATAGTCAAGTTTTCCCGTAAAAATTAGGCTCCGCCTCCTTTTTGTAACCTTAACTGTGCTGCGTGGTGTAAGAGGAGTTGCAGATAAGAGATGGGTATACCTAAAGCGTAACAAACAGATGGATGGACTTCCCCATTAATGAATACCCTCCCGCTTTTCAAGCAGGGGGTATAAAGAAAGGACTAATGTAGGCAGGCAAGCATTATGGCCCATGCATTTTATTTATTTATTTTTTTTTTTTTTTTTGCTATTCAATGTCTCTGAATGTCTTTCTCAAGATTGTTGCAACACAAAAAATCTGAAACAGTTGTCTGTATTTGAAATAAGTTATTATTGTAAATAATGACCTTTATGTGACATGTTCTTGTATATTTCTTTATATTAAATTATTGTATAACAATGTCTCTTTTGTAATAGACTTATGCAATGTGTCATCCGGGCTTTACTTATGTAACTTGATTTACCCCTTTCCGTATTGTTTTCAACCAATCAGCAAAGCGCTTTGCTATCACGTGTCCATTGTTTATCTTTTTGCCAGAAGAGAAAGTCACGTCATTTGTACTGCTCAATTTTTCGTATTATTCGCTTTAATTCCCCGGAAAACCCTGATAGTTTTGGATCTAGCCATACTACTGAAGATTTGGGGTTATGTGATGCACGTATTTGTTTCACAGATACTATAGATTTCCTGCAAAAGTGAGTTTGTGTTTTGTTGTGAAATCAGACAGTTATGTAAGTTTTATTGTGTAAGTGTTTACATCCGGGCAACGGAGAGGACTGTCACAACATGGACGATCGCAGTATTCTTCGTGTATCTTTGATTGGACATTCTTTTATAAGACGCCTGGGATATTACATGAACAATTCAAGTGAATTAAGTAATCTAAAACTCAACGACGAACAATATTCGGTGACCGTGAATGGCCGTGGAGGGCTAAAGTTAAGAGACAGTCGTCTATTTAGAGACTTGTTGAATTTTGAGGTGCTCCCCCATATTTGCTTTATGCAGATAGGAGAAAATGACATTTTGCTAAGCAGTCCTAACAATATAGCAAGAGACATTTTATCATTAGCTTCATATATTCACCTTGGTGTAGGGGTACAAATTGTTTTAATTGGTCAATTGTTTAGACGTAGACCTTGGGCCTCATCTAATGACTTTAATGACCGTGTGATCCACATAAACAAACTTTTGATGAATGAATGTAAAAAACTGGACAATATACACTTTTGGCATCACAGAGGCTTTTGGAAAAGCTTGGACTTTTTGAGCAAGGATGGTGTACATTTGCGCACACACTCGGAAATGTTGTGACATCTTCTCCAATGCATCGATTCTGGCGGAGTATCCGCTCTGCAGTATTGCACTACCGGCATAAGACAGGCCAGTATATTAATTTTATTTAAGTCATGTATGGTCCATTAAAAGTTGATAGGACTAGCTCATGATTGAAATCTCATGTTTTGGTCATTTAGATACTGCATGTATACATGGCCATTAACATTATAATGCTCTAAAAGTTAACAATTGCTGGTTGCATTGGGCCAATGATTTTGGAAAATATTGATTTTAACAGAACGCTGAGAAAATGACGTGCAAAATAATTTCATAATGAATGCTGAGTATTCTTACTTTTAGCATGATTAGGCATGATGTAAAAATTTTATCTGAAAAGTATGGTAAAACATGATGCAAGTTCATAATATACTTGCGAGACCATATGCTCAGACTTAAACAGAAATTAATGCTAAGGGTAATGCTTATGGGGTACACATGAGCTGTGATTTAAGTTGGTACTGAGTAGTTTCTTACAAATCACAATGATTTGCACAATTAAATGGTGGTGCAATATTGTATGCTTGAGTGTTGGTTACAAGTATAAGATGAATGAATAATAATTAAAAAAAAAAAAAAAAAAAAAAAAAAAATGTGCAGGACCATATGCACTTGCTGTATGTTGATAGAAAAAAAAAAAATGTGCAGGACCATATGCACTAGCTGTATTAAATTCAAAAAAAAAAAAAAAAAAAAAAAAAAAAAAAAAAAAAAAATTTTTTTAAAAAAAAAAAAAAAAAAAAAAAATTTAAAAAAAAAAAAAAAAAAAAAAAAAAAAACAACAACAGTTGCACTTGTTTGTGTATCGCAATATTGTATTAGTAGATACAGGATCATATGCATCCAAAAAAAAAAAAAAATAAAAAAAAAAATAAAAATAAAAAGCTCTTCTGGTTTCAATGTTTATAATTTTAAAAATATGTTGAATGCATATAGCATGGTGAACTTGTTGTTGAATCAAATACATTGATTGGTTGGATATTTCAAATTTTATAAAGTGTGCAGAAGTAATACTTTCATTCTCTTGCAGAGATCTACAATGCCACCGAAACGGAAGCAAACTCCAGCCAAAAACCCAACAAAGAGGCAAAAAATGGCCACCAAGCAACCTGAAGTGACACCACAGCCTACTACAGCCATTGAGCACCCTGAAGTGATCCCGGGGCCTGCCTATGGACAAATTGATTATAACAAACTAGCTGAAGCCATGTTAGCCATATCTAAGCAACAACCTGAAAACGCCCCCTCGCAAAACACATCAGATGACAGACAGATGCCTGTGACAATGGAATCTCCTTCCACATCTCAAAGTGCTGAGCCAGCAACGACTTCCACATTGGGAACTCTTTTGGATCAAATTTTCCTTGGGGACCGCTCTACACACAAGGACTTAAGCCCACTGAGTAAGACAATTTCTTTAACAGATGGGATTCCTCTCAGTTCCACGGTTTCACAAAAAACCAAAACTAAGATTTGGAATAATGAATTTGTTGACTTAAGATCTTTGTTAAGTGTACGAGATGAACCACTTTCAGTGTCAATTTCATCAGGCATTATAAATGTACAGCAGAGTCCAAAATTTTAATTCCCGATCAGTATTTCTCAATGGACAGATGCATTTTTGATATTCGCATCTATCTACATTGAGAAATTTCCCCAGGAGGCACCCCATTTGTTCAAATATTGCCACATGGTCAGAGAGATCCAACAGTTACATGGGGATAATGCCTTCAGGGCTTATGATGAGCATTTTCGTAAACTACGAGAATCTGTTGTTGCACCTTGGCAAATTCCGGTGCAAGAACTATATTGAAAGCTATAACATTGCCCAAACCTGGTTATCAAAATAAGACCGCGTTAAATCAGCCCTTTCGAGTCAAATACTGTTACCAGTTTAACAAAGGGGAACGTTGCACAAGGTCCCCATGTCAATTCAGGCACAGCTGCATGCAATGCAAGGGCAATCACCCCAAAGTCAAATGTTCCTACTCCTTTAAATCAAACTCAAATTCAAAATCTACCAACCCCAATCAAGATAAATAAGCTTATTCATATTCTACAAGGCTATGATCAAGAGAAATTAAAAGTGATTTCAGAGGGTTTTTCACAAGGTTTTAAGCTAGGATGTACATCTCCACCTACAATGAAGATCTCTAGAAATCACAAAAGTGCTTTAGATCACCCTGTAGTTATTGATCAGTTCATTAGTGTAGGGAAAGAAAAGAGTGATCGCGGGACCATTCAAGGAACCACCTTTTCTAAATTTCATTTCTTCTCCTCTTGGAGTGGTTCCAAAATCAGAACCGAATAAATATAGGGTAATTCATGATCTCTCCTTTCCCAAATTTGATTCAGTGAACCTTGGCATTCCTGAAGAAAATTCAAAAGTACAATACGACTCGATTGATAATATAACTGAACTTCTTCGGAAATTTGGTAAAGGGGCTTTAATGGCAAAAGCAGACATTGAGGACGCTTTTCGTATTGTACCCATACACACCCTGAAGACTACAAACTCCTAGGTTTCTCCTGGGATAGTAATTTCTATTATGATAAGTGTCTACCCATGGGTGCCAGTAGCTCTTGCCAAATTTTTGAGTGTCTCAGTACCAGTTTGCAGTGGGTTATGTGTGAAAAATTTGGTGCACCTGGCATGTCCCACATGTTAGATGACTTTTTCTTTATAGGCCCACACCGGTCTGATGCATGCCAAGCATCATTACAGAGGTTCTTAAGTATTTGTCAAGAATCTGGTATACCCATCAAATCTGAAAAAACTGAGGGTCCAACTACTACATTGACAATTTACGGCATTGAGGTCGACTCTATTGAAATGGTCTGTAGATTGCCAGAGGCTAAACTCTTAAAAATAAGGGATAGGTTACACGAAGCCAAGAATAGGAAGAAAATAACACTTAAAGACTTACAATCTTTAATAGGGCTTTTGAATTTTGCCTGTCTGGTAGTTGTCCCAGGGAGGGCTTTTCTGCGTCGCCTCATTGATTTAACTTGTGGAATAACTCAACCCCATTTTTTCATAAGGCTTACTTGTGAGGCAAGGGCCGACTTGAGTATGTGGTCTCATTTTATAGATAACTTTAATGGGAAATCGGTTATTCTGCCAGATATTTGGGCCTCTGCTGAAAAACAATTACTTTTTACTGATGCTTCAGGGTCATTGGGCTGTGCAGCTGTTTTGGGTAGAAACTGGTTTGCCCTGGGTTGGGACGCAATCAAAGACATGTCACATCAGCAAATCGCAATTAAAGAGATGTTCCCAATAGTGTTAGCTTTAGAGATTTGGGGATCATATCTTGCCGATAGGAAAATACTTTTCATGTCCGATAATTTAGCTGTGGTGCACGCCATAAACAAGCAAACATGCAAGGAAAAAACTCTCATGAAACTAGTTAGGAGACTTGTTCTTGTGACTCTTTCTCAGAATATTCTTTTTAAAGCTAAGCACATTCCTGGGAAAAGTAATACTTTAGCAGATCACCTATCTCGGTTTAAATTTCAGGAGGCCTTCAGGATAGCACCTCACTTGAATCCCAGTCAAACAGTGGTGCCCAAGGACCTCTTGTCGATTTGAGCCCAATCAGTATGCAATTGCTGACTTCATCTCTTTCATCATCCACAGCCCTAGCATATCGCAAAAGTTGGCAGTATTTACTGAAATGGAAGCCAGGACTTTCACTACCAATATCGGTGACTGATGTATGTAACTTCATTGGTGTATTGTTCTCCAATAACTACTCCCCCAGTTCTATTTTATCACATATGTCGGCTATCAGTTTTGTTCATAAAATTTGTAATATGTCAGACCCCACTCAGGCATTTGTGGTTAAGAAAATTCTTAAAGGCTGTCAAACATTGGGCCCAAGGAAAGACACTCGCTTACCAATAACTGCACCTATTCTACAAAGACTAGTGCAGGCCCTTGATCACACAGTCAAACTCTTCTCGCTAAGAGTGCTGTTTCGTGCAGTGTTTTTGATGGCTTTCCATGCGTTTTTAAGGTTAGGGGAACTAACAGTGAAATCTGCAAAGGGTAGCAATAAAGTTTTGCAAAGGGAAGATGTAACATTTGAACACAAATCAAACTCGATTGTAGGAGTTCAAATCATCATGAGAGAATACAAAACAAACAAACACAACAAACCGTTAGTAATTTACCTGCAAGCAAGTCCAAATTCCCAATATTGTCCAGTTCAGGCATTGTCTAACTATGTTCAAACTTTCAACCACAAGACTGGACCTTTGTTTCAAACAATGGATGGTTCACCTGTGTCTTATTCATTAGTAACTACACATTTGAAGACTGCAATACAATTTATTGGATTAGATACAGATAGCTTTAAGGGTCACAGTTTCAGGATTGGTGCTGCTACTCATGCAGCCTCCTTAGGCTATTCTGAACAAGTTATTCAAAAATTAGGCAGGTGGAATTCTGATGCCTTTCGTCGATACATTAGAATCCAGTCATTTAAAATATAGGCATTTGTAAATATACATTGTATTTCTCATTGACATACTCGACTCGATGCTACCATAAAAGCCTTCTCAGGGGTTTACATTAAATGTCAAAATTACAATAGGTAACTGATCTAAACCGTCTAAAGAAAACGTAACATACAGTCGGAACCAGGTCAGAAGTCATCTGTTGGTTCCGTATTGTATCCATAAAGATTTATAGTCCGAAATGATCTAAACCGTCTAAAGAAAACGTAACATACAGTAGGAACCAAGTCAGTAGTCATCTGTTGGTTCCGTATTGTATCCATAAAGATTTAAAGTCCCAATTACATTCTCTTTTGTTGGTCAGAAGTGGTCTGCAGCTATAGGGCCCAATTTGCATGCAGCTTAGCCTAGGTTTCACATTTTTGTTGACGGGGCAGAAGTCGTCTGCAATCAACAAGTCCAATACTAAGAACTAGAACAGCCATTGTGCCTGGCTTGTACCGGTAGTCCACGTTTATTGTATTTTCCTAAAAGCATTTTTATAGTTGAAAGCCTTTTACAGTTTTCGATAACATTTAGTAGTTACTGTTGTATGTTTTATATTGTACCTGTAAATATGTAGTTATAGAAACTTGTCTGATATTTACAATTTTAAAAATTTTATACATTTTTTTATGGTTTGTGTTTTGCGTCTCCTGCCAAGACGCCTTTGGGTGGGTGGATCCAATTTGCAATTGGATTGTGGCTGTGTTTTATGTTCTTTTACCCACCTTTTTTGATAGCAGGCAGCAATGTAACACATTTATTTTCATGTATGTTTAGAACTTTTTATGTTTAATAGGGGGTCAACTGAAGATATATAATATGTATACTATACATGACAATGTTTTTCCAGGTTTTGATTTCTTAATTAGTCTGCTGGTTGATCCCCCTTTTTTCTATTGTATATCATTTACAATGACATTATGGTGCTGGGGGTCAGATTGTGCAATATTGTGATAAAGATATGTAATATTTTATATTTAAGTCCCCTTTACTGACCCCCTTTCTTGTATTGTAAATATGTTTTACTACTTTTACGTCATTTACTTCAATAAATGACATTTTTCACTTCAATGATGTTGTTTGTTTTTGCCTGCTTTAGCCAAAAAACAAGCTCAGTTGTCTGGCAGGAGAACTAAGGAACATAAATAACAATATTGTTCACTCACTTAAACTCACGATCAAAGATTTTATTTTACACCATGTTCAACTCCGATGAGTACTTTCAATACTTTGATTTGTCATTAATCTTTGTTTACTAATCTCAACTATTGGTAACAGGAAAAATGTTTCCCCGAATTGCAAATCTGCAAACTGTCGATTATAGACATGAAAATGTAAAGAGAAGTGGAGTAGCATGTTATTTCAAAAGAAAAGATCAACGGACAATTATGATAATATACGAGGGCTGTTTAATAAATAATGTCATGAACTCTATTACATACAACAGAGACATCGTATGACATTAAGCCTTTCACTTATGATTGAAGCTTTAATGAATTAATATCAAGTTCGCAGGGAGAATAAGGAAGCACACAAGATATTCTACCTTGACTAAATCAGTGCTACATTATGACGTCATTGTAAGCGAGATGACGTCAATTCTAGAACACAAGTTTTCGTAATATTGGTATTTAGAGATGTAATTTAACTCTAGAAAATGAATAGAAACATGTAAACATTAACAAAAATGAAATGTTCTTATTTTGTTATGCTGCATTCTGTCATTTTGATTATAATCTACCACCGATGACGTCATAGGTGTTCATCAAGTAACTTTGGAATTGATCATATCGGGTAAAGAGAATTTGGCTAAGACGGCATGTACAAAGATACGTAAAATGGAGTTTAAAGGCAAATATCGTCAATATTTTGTGAAATTCATGTGGAGTTCAGTTAATAAAATAGGTATGCTAATTTATTTTCATCGATTATATTCTCAGTCAGCGTCAGCTCTATACGAATCCCGGTCGGCCTTTCCTCTGTCATTTGTGACAAAAATAATGCAATAGAACAACAATAAGCTGTATATTTCAAAACATTAGATTTGTACAGATGGAAATTTGTCTTCTGAAATACGTGGAAACTGCTGCTAGAATCCCGAGTTTTGCGAAAAATCTCGGTTCATATGTAAAAAAAATTCAAAACATCGGGTAAGGTTTCATGCGAATGTGTGGAATAATTATTTTACTGACGGGAAAGTGGGATTCTATAAGCACTTTTTAGGCAAAATAAATGTTTTTCAACTACATTATTTACTCAAAGAAATTATTAAACTCCGGAGTATTGTTGTTCTGTTAGCTTTTTTATTAAGGAAATTTTCGCTATTAATAGAAGTCACATGATGCCGTGGTGGTGGTGCACGTCGTTGCGTTAGACACTCTTTTATCTTTATGCAATAAATAATAATAGTTTACTTTTAATAATAATAATAATAATAATAATAATACTTTATTTAAAGAAGGTAACCGGATTAGTGCAACCACTATTCTTCCTCAGGGCCTTCTGACAATTAACAATATGAAGATACATAGTAATACACATACAAACATATTATAAATATAAACATAAATATACAAATACAAATAAACATGAATCACAAATTAATCTGACATTGTTTTACATATTGTTTTACTTGTCTCTTGAAAGTATTAAGTGTTGGTGACATTTTATGTGCACCGGTAAAGCGTTCCATAAAAAGGCACCAGAGTACTGGAAGGAATTTTCAAAAAGTTTACATTTATGAATTGGCACACACAAATCAACATTGGATTCAGATCGAAGGGTATATTGGTTATTAATTTGAAATTGAAACATTTCATGTAAATAAGTAGGACAATAATTAAAGAGGGATTTATATAACAATACATATTTATTTACAGTAAGCTGTTCATAAACAGTAAGCCAATCAAGTTCATCAAAAAGGGGTCGGGAGGGTGCATCAGGGGGCGCATCTAAAATATACCTTGCAGCACGTTTTTGAAGTTTATGAACTCTGTCAAGATTTGATCTGGATGTATTTCCCCAAATTGTTAGGCAGTAATCAATGGTAGGCATGATGTAAGCATTATAAAACAACTTGAGTGTTTGAAGGGGAAGATATTTTTTAATTCTACGGAGTGCTGAAATTTTACGTGACAGAGTTTTACATACATGGTCGATATGTACATTGTATTTTAAAGAATTATCTAAATATACTCCAAGAATTTTTTCATATGTTACATTGTCTAATTTCTGGTTCGAAACGTATAAAGGAAAATCATGGTCTAAGAATTTTGATCTCTTCTGATGAGTCCCTATTAACATGCATTTAGTTTTTGAGGCATTAAGTATCATTTGATTTTGAGTGCACCATTTTTCTATACAAGCAATATCCATTGATAATGAATTTACTATAGACTGGGGATCTTTGCCGGGGACATGTAATGTTGCATCATCGGCAAACAAATCTATGTTTGAATTTTTGATATAAAGTGGAAGATCATTAATGTACAGTAAAAACAAAAGAGGTCCTAGTATAGACCCCTGTGGAACTCCCGCTGTGACTTGCTGATAAGATGATTTTTTGTTAGACAGATGGACACTTTGAAGTCTGTCACTTAAATATGATCGAAACCAGTGTAAAGTTATTTCATTAAAATTATAACACTCCAGCTTTTTAAGAAGAATTTCATGATTAACTAAGTCAAAAGCCTTACTGAAGTCGAGAAAGACAGTACCAACAAGTTTGCCTTGGTCCATTTCATATAACCACTTATCTGTAATGTTTGTAAGGGCTGTTTGACATGAGTGCAATTCTCTGAAACCTGATTGAGATTCTATTAAAAGATCAAATTCTGAAAATAGTAATCGTACATATTTTGCCACATGTTTTTCTATAATTTTTGATAATGTCGGTAAAATAGAAATGGGTCTGTAGTTATTTGGATCTAGCTTGTTTCCCTTTTTATAGATAGGTGTAACTTTGGCAAGTTTAAAACTTTTCGGGAAAATACCTGATGTAATACTAGTATTTATTATATGGGTTACAGGTTTATGTATTATTTGTGCAGTAAGTTTTAATAAACGTGGACCGATGGTATCTACACCTGATGATTTATTAACATCTAGTTTGTTTAGTAAGGAAAGCACTTCATCGGGGCTAATAAGCGGGATAGAAAACATTTCTGTTCCCAATTTAGACTGTACAAAATTTAAAAGGCGATCGAAATCATACTCTTCTTTATTTACTCCTTCAAGGATTTTAGCAGAGACATTTGAGAAATGAGAATTAAATATCTCTGTAATTTCTTGTGTTTCCTCAGTTACATTATTATTTTGTTCAAGTGCCGTCGGACTATAATTTTTTGGGGTAGAAGCTAATTTGTTTAATGCATCCCACATCTGGCGTGGATTTTTGTTTTGCTCTACAGTTGATTTATAATTATTAATTTTTGCATTTTCAATAAGTGACGTTACCTTATTTCGCCATAATCGGTAGTTTTCAAAGTCAGTAAACTAGAGTGAAATTAAACGCTTTTTTAAAACTGTTGTAAAACTTGTTAAGAATACCCAAGAAATATTCACCGAAAATCGTGAAATATACAGCAAGAAATGTCTGTTTTATGGACACATGAACAGGTGGATATCAGGGAACAGTAATGGTATAATGGGTATCAAAAATGGGTACCGTCCTTGGTGACAAGGACTCACAACTACCAATTTTCTGTTTTTATTGACTTTAACACATTTCCCTGCAGTCACGCATTTTTACGGATATACCATTTGAAAAGTGCATTTAATCTTCAATTTAGTTCCCTTCTATTTTATACTTGCAAAAATCTCATAAAATAAGAAATGTCAATATAATCGTATTAAAATATTGTGTCATAATATGATTTACGGTAAACTTGAGATAAACTTGTACCGCGCGTGCTTGCGGGGAAAACGTAACGTCATATTTTTATTACGTGAACATTAAGTGTATGTTGCATAACAGTTCAGTAAGTTGTAAAGAGTTCAGACACATAGCAAATTTGATATGTATCAATTTGGGGGTAATTCACACTATTTTAAAGACACATTTGACAGAAGAAAAAAAAAACGTTGTACTCAATGATCACCCTATGTTTTTAAAAAAAAATGAGTGAAAACGACAGCGTTTTAAATATCTAAACAATTATTTTTAAAAATCAGATATTGTAGTTATCCACGTTTGTCTGAATTTATACAGATAATGTTACTTGAGTTTCTACAAATTTACAATCAGATGCAAAAACAGCAAAAGTCGTAAAAGAGCAGAGAACAGCAAGAGGACAAAACAGTTTTATATGCTATTTTCTAAAATGTTAGCGGTCTTCTTGTTCAAATTTTTATTCGGGTAGCCAGTTCAATTTCTGGAGGAGTCTAGAAAGCATTTTTTTTTTTACAAAAAAGGTTTAAGACAGGA